GTTCTCAACCTGTGGGTCACGACCCCTTTGGGGGTCGAACGACCCTTTCACAGGGGTCACCTAAATACATCCCGCATATCAGATATTTACATTAAGATTCATAACAGTAGCAACATTACAGTCATGAAGTAGCAACGAAAATAATTTTATGGTTGGGGGTCACCACAACATGAGGAACTGCATTAAAGGGTCGTGGCATGAGGAAGGTTGAGAACCACTGCTTTAGAAGGTCACTGGTATGAGGGCACATCGGGCGTGCTGTGAAGAGAGGAGGAAAGAGAGACGGGGAAGCAGACACCATCCCGTTGACTTGGGGATTGAATGTGATGATACCAGTCCAGTGCCTGGTCCGTGGTCGATGCGCAGTCACGGCGACTGACAGTGGTCAGTGCGATCAGATGGGAACGCCCCCGGGCTCAGCCTGCACAGCCTCCCCAGCGGGTGCCTGTGGTGCCCCGGAAAGTCCGAGGACTTGAGTTTTGCCTGGAGGCATCTCCGAGCGCCCGGTCTGGCTCTGTGCGTAGACTGGACAGAGGTCCGTGCAGCCAGCTGAGGGGGGTCTGGACGTCCCCCCCCCAGGATCCGACACCCGGGGCTGAGTAGGCACCACCGTGCACGGCCCCTCCCAGCGGCTCCGCCTGCCCATTGCACGGCCACGGCCACGGCCACGCCTGGGGAGCTCCCAGCTTTTCCACGGTCGGCGCTGTAAGCTAACGCCAAGTTCTTCCCCAGAGTCTAGAGCAGCGATTCGCAGCCTTTTTCATCTTTGTCCATCAACTAATTATCAAAACTCTGAGGCACACCCAAAACTGTATTACTTTTCTGCTGATCTGATGAAAAAGAAAGGTATAATTTTGATTCATTCGTCCAGACGGCTCTGTGTTGGCTGTTGGTGTTTTTCTATTTGACAACCGAAGGGAGAGGAGGCCGGTGCCCTGGGCTGCGCAGCCGGCGCTGCCTGGTGTACCCACTCTTGGGCGCCACGAAACCTCTGGTCTGAAGCAAGTCTGCTTATTGCCAACAGCTCCTGTGCCCCGGCCGTCATTTAGCGTCCAGTCCGCTCTCCTAGGAGTGAGTTCCCGTCTCCCCCTGTCCCCCTGTCCCCCATGCACCCACCTTGCCCGGAGCAGGCTGCCTCACATTTTCTCTGCCAGGCTGGTCAGTTCCCGAGTTTCCCGGAAACCACAGGCCCCGCGGAGTCATTGGGAGCTTGTGGGGTGCCAGCCCCTCAGCCTCGGCTCCTGGTCGACCAGGCGGCTCCTTTCTAACCCTCACTGAGTGGCTTTCCCAGCACCCCCGGCGGTGCTCACTGTGCCGCTTCGAGTCGGCTCTGCGGCAGCTTCCCGTCTAAGGGACGCGTTCAGATCATCTTGGACCCTAATTGGATCCCCCTGGTGGTGTGTCCCTGTCACGTCACTTTATCTGCAGCTGTGACAGGTGGAGGTGCGGCCTCTGTTCTCTGTTGGCTGAGTGTCGGCTTAGTCGACAGCTAACGCCTCCAGCTGCCTCTCGGGAGACAGCCCGGAAACATTTGCCTTTGGTTTGGCATCGATTCCTTGTGGCTAAGGGTCACCTCTGGGACGTGGGCGTGGAGCCCCAGGTCAGTGCCTTTATCCCCGCGGAGAACCCGCCTCGCCCAGGGCAGCTGGTTGGCGCCACGCTGGTAGCGCGTCCCCTGCAGTTAATGCGGCAAACAGACAGGCGACCAGCCATGGCCCACGAGCTGAGCTGGAAATCTATGCCCGAGAGGACCTGGGGGCGCCCCCTGGAAACCACCCGTGAGGTACTCTGGCAGCGAGCCCCGAAGGGAGAGCGTGTGGTCCCCCGGGGCCTGAGAGGAGGGTGGCGACTGAGTGCAGGAGAGCACACGCTGGCAGCCTCAGAGGACACGCCCGCTGCTCGTGCGCCCTGAGGTCCCACCGCCGTCAGAAGCGCAGTGCGGACCGCGGCTGTCGGGCTAGATGTCCGTGTATAATTGTACGCTGTTGTGTACCATCCAGGTACTGTGTTACTCGCAGCATTTGCTTTGTTTTTACAGTATTTACATTTGCATTAAGTCACTCTGAGCACATAGTTTAAAGAACTCAACGA